ATGGATTAAAAGATGAAACAAGAACATAAGCAATCAAGAGAATCAAACATGCAAAACTGTAAAAAACTCTAAGAATCAAAATAAGATAAAAATCGTACCATTCAAACCACAACTGTGGGGCGCTGTGAGAGGAGAGGAAGTGAGAGGAGGTGGCGCTGACAACCTAAGGCATAGAGAGAATCAACGTTTGAGAAAGATGAAGAAGAAGGAGGCGCCGTTGTGGCCAAAGTTTGCAAACCCTAGTTCAGAATGCCAAACCCTAAAAAATTGTCAGAACACTTCAATTGGGCCTTCGCCCCAAATAAAACCATAAGCCCACAGCGCTTCTGCTAAGCACGCCCCCCCTTTTTGCTCATTCTGACTTACAATTTATTCTTCTTCATTTCTTCTTATTTGGGCCACAAATCCTAGGCCCATCATCTTCATCTTTTTTTAATTTTTTAAACTAATACTTTATTTTATTTTCATTTTAAGTAATTTGATTTTTTTTTATTTTGTTAGTAATTACTTTAATTTTCTTAATATAGTTTTAATTTTCTTTATTAAATTAAGAATTACAAATGTAATAAGAATTTTATTTAACTAATTTTGTTTTTCTTTAAAAAATGTGTAAATAATAGAAACTTTAATTAATTTTTCTTTCTTTAAAACTTTTCTTTTCATAATTAATAAAACAAAATAACAATAATACTTAGTTTAAATTTTATTTGTTCATTTGTAAATAAATACATGCATCTCATATTTCTTTGATTTTCTTTATCTTATAAGTTGTTATAATTTTTACATTGAATTGCGACAGTTCGATTTGGTTGTAACACATATTTGGACATTATTATTCTGATAAGACTCATCCCCATTTGTAAATAATTTGTACCCCCATCCCCGGATAATCATCTGTAATAACTTAGACTTTAAATTCCCGCAATTTATTACTTTCAATATACTGTATAGTAATTAGGGTTTGTATGGCAAGATTCAAAATCAATCGCTAGATAACCTAATACAAGAATAAATGCATGAAAATCAATACACAGTTCACACTTGCACCTCTAGGGTAGCCTCTCTTGTTGCCTCGGAAAATGCAATCATGTCCCTCGAGTATGAGACACTCTAGCAAATACCTCTTCGATAAACAAATATCGTAGTCCCTTGATGACCCTTGACGTTGCCTTCGATAAAACAATCTCGGACCTTACAAAATTGCTAGAACGCCTCACAAGTTGCTTTCAATGATTGTATACGATGACCCACGCCTGTCCCGTTTAACATCCTAACACAAGGTTATTCACCAAATACAATGGTGAAATAACACTGTCAAAAGGATTGAAAACATAAGAAAGATCTTTGAGTAAAATAGGGTAGACAACTCTTAGTTACTTGATCAAAAGCTTGCAAAACATTCTTGCCATTTTTCAAACACACCTCACAAACACAATTTCAAAAAACGAACTTTCAAAACATTGAAATATCTTTTCAAAAAGACACACACCTTTGCATATATTCAAACAAGAATTATTACAAAGGTTGCCTAGACAAGGCCTCTTTTTTTTCAAAGCATTTTCAAAACCACCACACACACACAAAGCACCATTTCAAACAATTGAAAAGCAAAAGCAAGTGATCTAAAACAAGTAACTAAGAGCCCATGGATAACCATGGATGAAAAGGGTGCTAGCACCTTCCCTTTTCATAATCTACCCCCCGAACCCGAGAAAACATCTCAAAGGTCTTTCCTGTGCTTTTTGACCTTTCCTTAGGATAAAATAAAAAGTCGGTGGCGACTCTTGCTAAATCGAAACAAGTGCGAACACAAACGCAAAATCCCAAGTCAGTTCTCCCACCGTATCACAGAGGGTAATACCTAAACTCCATGTCAGCCTGAAATTTAAGGGCTATTGTGTGACTTATGTGCTTTCAACTTGAACTACTTGCACATGTTTGTTATCTAACAACTTGAGTTCCTTGCAGGTTTTGTTTACAGTCCTTATCCAATAATTTGGATTTATTGCAGGGTTTACTTACATCACTTCACACTTTTGCTTAAACGCATAGCATACACATCATAACATCATGCCTTAACATTTCCTTAACCATTTCAAGGATCTCGAGGGTTTGTGATGCAGGTTATGGTAAATCAAATGTCTAGCAAGGGGCAAAGGGGATTTATTTCCTCTAGCCAAGGTTGTCTAGAAATCAAAACACGATAACTTGAGTCAGGGGCTATGACCCACTCGATATGGTGAGCTTGACTCTTGAAGAAGGACTCTTAATAACATGAAGTTTCTTTAATCAAAGCTGCAAAATTCAAATTCTAACAAGTTTCTTGTTTACCCCGCGGGATCCTTAAAAACATTGCATACATACATATCATTGCATAACAGGTCTCCCAGTACAGGTCTCTCATGTTCTCGCTGTTTATTTCAGCAATGGATTTCCAACCACACAACCAAGATCTTCAAACTCGAGAAGCTCAGTTCAGGGACGTATTCCTAAACCTATCCAAGGGGCAGGAAGAGTTGAAAACACTCCTCGTTGGGAACGAGGTCAAGAAAAGTCCTGAAGACAATAAGGACGAACGGTTGGAACAACTGCAAGCTGAGTTCAGTGCCATGAAAACCCAGATGCTGGGGCAGATGGCTCTTATCCAAGCCTTAGCTCGGGAACAAGAAGAGCTGAGAACCATTATCAACCAGCTTCATCAAGACAGATACAACAACATAAAGCAAACAGTCAAGGCCGGGGACCAAGTCATTAATCAACTTCCGAGAAGTCAAAGGTTTGGTTTGATGAAGAATAGACCTCTCCAAGTTGCTGCTACCTCAAGGGTCCAACAACAACCTCGCCAAAAACAACGGGTTAATTAGAATAATCTGGATACACCCAAGAGACAGTTTACCAAGCTCAACATGTCGCTGTCTCAGGATTTACAACACCTGTTGAGATTGAATCTGGTGACATTAAGGGACCCTCCTAAGAATCCCAACATAGCCTCCCCAAGGTACAATCCTAATGCAAGGTGTGCATATCACTCCAACAGCCCAGGGCATGATACTAACATCTGTTGAGTGTTGAGCAACAAAATTCAAGACCTGATTGATGAAGGAGCATTGGAACTTACACAAGACGGTCAGATTGAATTCTTTTGCCATCCCCCCAAGGTTCACCATTTGAAGTGACAAGTACTGAGACGAGAAGACTTTTTGTTCATTAGAATTTTCAAGTTGTAATTTTCTTTTGATTGTTCGAACATTTATTCATGTCAAACTTTATTACTTTATCAATGCATTGCATATGTCTGTTTTGAATCAATCCATTCGTATTTCACTATATTCAATTTGCTTTGATTTTTTGTGATGATCAACTATCGATTAAAAAATTCTAAGCCTTTAGAGGGAGGATGACGAAAATGATATCAAAATCTCTACAATATGCTTTTGAACAGACCCCGCTGACGAGGTACAAGCATTGTTTCAAATCCTAAACAGTGGAGTTATAAGGAAGATAATCCCTAGTCAACCCCTTTGAGCCAAAGAAGTTGGAGTTTTTCTTTTCACAAATTAAAACCCTTAATTATAACTTGGGGCAGGGTAGTTTTCTCAGTTGATCCAGGTGCACAATGAATGGCATCAAAGAAGTCCTTCCGAAACAAAAGGCGGTGTTGGTTCCGTATAATCGTAAGGACAGGCAGTCATTATCTCTCAAAATAAAAGCCCAATAAGTCAAAACCTGTGAAGGAGACTTAAGAAAGACTGGGGCATCCCGCTGACTGTAATCACAACAAGAAACAGTTCATGCAAAAAAAAGACAGGGATAATAAAATCAAAAAGAAAGAGATCCTACAAACTCTCAAAAAAATGACTGCCTGTTCAAAATAAATTGACAGTATCCAAACCATCACCAGAATATCAGAGCAAAGACTCAAACGAGATCTAATGCGCAATTAGATGAGTTTAAGATAGAAGAACATCATGAAGAGCGGGTGGGTACAAATATATCTTGAGCCTTTATCCTTTGTTTCTTGAACCGTGAACCAGGCCACGTTATAACCCTTAAAAAGTCCTAGCTGAAGCATGGGTTAGTCCGAAAGCATACTGTTACAAAAGGTATCCTGACTCCTGTAGGGCTTGCTGTAAATCCTGAGTTGACGTCACATTTTACAAAATTTTCCTATCTTACTGAAAAAATGCATCTTCAAAAACTTTAAGACAGACATAAGCTTTGCATTCTTAAAATAACATTGTTTGCATATGACTATTTGTTCAAACAACAGAGAAATTCGCACGACGAATATCTAGTGAACAAAAACCTTTTCAATAAAAAGGGTCGCCTCAAGTGGTAAAAACACCTCCAACCAAGGGGCACGGCATGAGCATTGTCCATCATCTGGGGCAGTTAAGTCAAGATTCAAGGAATCTCTCAAAATGCCAAATAGCCGGGCGCAAATCTCCATCTGAATCAATTGGGGCATTGGATATGAATTCCAGCAACGAATCTTGCATGATCAAACGAAGATCTTCTGATAGTATGGCAACACGACACTACTGACAGTTAGGGATGGCAAGCAGACCCAAACCCGCGGGCCCCACCCGCACCCGAGTCAACGGGTGAAACCCGAATTGACTGGGTTTGGGTTCGGGTGCCACTCGATATTTTGGGTGTGGGTTTGGGATAGCTTAAACCCGCACCCGAAACCCGAAACCAAACCCGCTTATATGTTAAATTACAAAACTATCCCTAAATATATATATATTTCAATAATTAAAAATAAAATGTAGGGTTTACAACTTTCAACTTTCAAGTTCACGCAGTCACGCTCACTTCACTGCACCCACCGGCCACTGCCATCGTCACCTACGCCACCTCCGTCACCTTCGTCACCTCCGTCAGACCGTCACCTTCGTTAGTTCGTTTCTCCGTCTCCTTCGCCTCTTCATCGGTGCCTACAAACTCCTCCGTCATCTTCTTCATACAATCCTCTTCTCGCCATTCTCCAAAGGTACATGAATCACTCATCCATAGCTATTAATCAAAACGCAGCACCTCCATCAAAAACAACAAAATCCCCCCTTTGCTCTTTTGTTGAATCAGAAAGAAACAAATTGGTTTGGACTGAAGTAACACTCAACTCAATCCACCGTACAAACGAAAACCTCGCCAGAAAAACCCGCCGGAGTACCTCGTTGACCGCTGTAACAGCCAGAAACTCCGCCAGAAGGTTTTCCTTCTATATCTTGCTTATTTTTCTTTTCAGATTTTCATTCCTCACTGCGATTTGTGGCCACCATAGATTGTTACACGTTTCTCGTAAATTTTGTGAATCAATTTTACTATGCATTGCTTCTTTCAATTTTCTAGTTTTTATTTGTAGAATTGCACATTTTGTATATATTTCTGGTATATAGTCTCACATGAAAATCTACATCATATGCTGGAATGGATTCACATCCGAATAACCGTTCTGATTCAATCAATGTTTTTAAAAATTGGTTCGACATGGTGAATTGTGAATAGTTTTGTTCGGATTCGGGCGATTTAAAGCATTTGAACTTCTGTCTATCATATGCTAGACTGACTGCAGTTTACACAATTTTTATCACTTGTAAATAACTTTTTCATGTTAATGGTTTGTTATGAATGATCTGGATTATTGTAAGTGCCTTGCGTTCTTATAAACAAGGGATTGCACTATTGTTACAATATAGACTCGATATTCGATAGAACAAACAAGAAGTTAAATTCAGTTTGTGTTTTGTCTATGTTTTACTAATGAACACTGAGTTCTGAAAAACCCAAACACTCTATCTCTGTAGGCAACTTGTTCTCCGTGAACTTTGAAATCAGCTAAAAGATCGAGACCAATTGACTTTGATTCCAACAATAGAAAAATTTGTTGGCAGAGAATCTGGAATTTAATGAGTAGAGTGTAGAAGGTTGAGTCAAAAGATGCATAGCATCTTCCAATGGATTGGGAACTAGACTGTCTGTCTGTCACTACTACTAGCTAGGAAAGTCATTTTTATTTGTTGTTTGATTAAATATCAGCCAAACCTATTCAGGATATCCTCTGTTTTCTAAAATATACCTACCATCTGCCATTCACACACTAATATAGTGAATTTGCCATTCTTTTACCTGTTTTTTGTTTGTTTTTATTATTCAACCGAGTTGCTTTACAAAAATTCTGACAGTAACACAAGTTATTGCAAATCATATTACAAAGAGAAAAAATGGTTATGGCACGAGTCACATGCCTTTTCTCCAGCAAGTATTCTACTACTCTTTGTTTCATCCTTAGCAGTGTAACTAATATGCGCGTATTGTGCTTGAGTTGGATAATACTTTTTATAGCCATAGAATGCTTGTACTGTCTTGTATGCATGATTGCTTCTGTTACATACAATTTTCATTCTTACTGAATTTTTATAGTCTCCTTTTGTGCTGGAATAAGAAAAATTGACGGGCTGCTAGGATTGTCTAGAAATTGTTGTCATTACTTGATGAGTAAATAATTTTGTATTCTACTGTAGGTTTTATTTTCTCCAAAGGGCATGATTAGTTGGTTACTGAAATAAGCCTATTGAGTTACATATTTATTCTTCTTATTAATTAATTTTGTATAATCATGATGTCTCTGTTGTATCACCTGTTTTATATCTTTAGATTAACCAGAATGAAGTGAATGTTATGATATTGATGTAGAGCATCATCTCTGCTCATGGTCGCAAGGATATGTAATCATATACTCTGCTCATGTTTTTCTTTAACCGTCAAAAAAGTTTATGTGCAGTTTTATATCTTAATGTGGCAAAGAAGCATAACATTTGTGTCATTGTATATTATTTTATATAACTTTCTCTCAACATGGTCTCATATCTAACTAACCTGTGATATACTTTATTCACTCCTTTTTATAGCTTTTGGAGGAAGGCGGGGAAGGAAAGAATCCTCTTTCGTAAGATCAAAGCTTGAACATCCCACACAGGTTTTTAAAAAACTTCAAGAATTTTTTGTATTCTAAATTAAACTTATTTGCTTGTTTTAAATTCAGTTTGTTTTCTTGATTGAATAGGGGTTAATTGTATTTGTATTTGTATTATTGGAATTTGAAAAGTTGTGATAGTCATGTAGCTATTAAAATTTGAGATAGATGACATAGACTACATATTATTCCTATTAATTAGTGGTTTACCTTTATGATTACTAATTAGTCTCTACTTAACCCTTTAAGCTGTAAAATTAGCATTGCCAAGGTTGTTAAATAATTTACACAATTAGCTTCAATGTACTAATTAGTCTCTACTTAACTCTTTTAATTTTTGTCTCTCAGCTTGAGACACTCCTAAAGTTTTTCTCGGTTCCAGCATATCGAAACCGGGTGTTGAAGGAGTACATTGCAGCAATTTTGCACACTTAAGGCAAGGCTAGATCCTTTGTCAATAAAAGCTTAGAATTATCAACTTGTATGATATTTATTTACTCTTTTGTATACTTCTATATCAGGTATTTTGTTAGAAGGATGCGACCAGAATATAGAAGCTCTCAATGCTTCTATTAATGTTGCACTAATTAAATCAAACCACATTCCTAACAAAATCTTAATGACTGCTTTGATTCACAAAATGGGTACAAAGGCATTGCCTGCTGCAAAAAGCATGTTGTCTGATGCACTTAGAATAGAACCAAACAATCAGATGCCTTGGTATTACTTGGGATTGGTTCACAAGCACGATGAAAGTTTCAACACTTTTTTTGAATATTTTGGTATTATTTGGTATTGAGTGATGTTGCAGACTACTTTCAGGCAGCTTCAATGCTGGAAGAATTAAATCCCGTTGAAAGTTTCAGCACTTTTTTTTGAATATTTTGATTTTGGAATGGTTGATTCTGCAACATGTAGTAAGATCTATACCATTATGATTTTTGGTTAATACAAGAAGACACAATAGAAACAATTTTAGCAAATGGTTTCCCTTTTTTTATTGATTTGTCATCACAAATTAGGCTTAAAGAAAAGAAATTGAAATTTTATTTAGAAAATAAAATGAATTGTAAAGAACTTTGATCGGCAGAGATTTTTTTTGTAACTCAATAGCTGCTCAGCCATGTAAATGTATGTTGTTACTTGTTCAAACATAATCGTTGTTCCAACCTGTGAAAGTAGAGATTCATTTTTCTCCAACTGTGTTGGTTTCTACTATTTTGTTATTTTCTTGAAGTGGGATGTTTATGAAATTTCTTGTTGTTTGTAGTAGGTAAAATGGATCAAGTGAACACAACCCCGGAACCAGAAGGAGCATCTAATCCTACATAAGAAATTACATGTCCAACTCAGGAGGTATCTTCTAATCCGAATCCGACACCTGAACCTGATATTGGGCAACAAGAAGAAATTGATACAATTTTAGAACCTGCATCAAAGAAACTTAGAAGTAATGTGTGGCAAGAATTTAAAAAGATGAAAGTGAATGGAAAAGATAAGGCTGAATGCATCTGGTGTAAAAAACAACTTAGTGGCACTTCAAAGAATGGAACAAATCACTTGAAAGGACATCTCTTGAGTTGTATTCAAAAAAAGATCAAGACTAGAAACCATGACAAAGGACAACCATTTCTCCTACCGACTATCTCAGAAGGAAAGCAAGAGTTGGGAATTGGAACTTATGATTCAGAACATGTGAAGAAGTTGATTGTTGAAGCTATTATTATGCACGATTATCCACTATCAATTGTGGATCACATTGGTCTTAGAAGAGTCTTTGTTTCTCTCCAACCATTGTTTAAAGTTCCTACTCGAAACACAATCAAGAAGGAGGTATTGAAAGTTTATGATTTTGAGAAAAAATGTGCTATGAAGATGTTAGATAACCATGAAGAGAGAGTGGCAATTACCACAGATATGTGGACTTCAAGCAACCAAAAAAAAGGGTATATGGCGGTTACGGCTCACTATATCGATGGCTCGTGGACTTTACAGAGTCGAATCTTGAGGTAACAATGTTTATATTTTATAACTTAATTGTATCTTTTTTTTTTGTTCTTAATGACAATAAGTGAAAGACTTGTTTTTTGTAAATATTATGTTAGGTTCATTTATGTTCCAGCCCCTCACACTAGTGAAAGACTTGCTGAAGCACTTGTTAATTGTTTAATGGACTAGAACATTGATTCAAAGCTTTCTACGATTATTTTAGATAATTGTAGCACAAATGACTCAATGATTAGGAAAATTAAGGATAAGTTGTCGTTGGAATGTTTAATAAGGGATGGGTATTTGTTACATATGCGTTGTTGTGCGCACATCCTAAATTTAATTGTTCAGGAGGGCTACAAGTGATTAAGGATGGCATAGAAAATATTCGGGATAGTGTAGGATTTTGGAGTGCTACACCTAAAAGGTATGAGAAATTTGAAGATACCGCTAGACAATTGAGAATTATTTGCACTAGAAAGTTAGCTCTGGATTGTCCAACAAGATGGAATAGCACATATAAGATGCTTGATATTGCCATAGAGTACAAGGATGTATTTATTCGGTTGAAGAAACGTGAGTCTTTGTACACTTGTCTTCCAACTAATTCACAATGGCAATTTGCTAAAGATGTTTGTGGGTGCTTAAAATTATTTAATGAAGTAACTGAGTTGATTTCTGGTACAAAATATCCAACTGCCAACTTGTACTTTCCTAAGATTTGTAAGATTAAGTTGGCAATAGAGGAATGGAAGAAGTCCTCCAATTCAATTATTGAGATGATGGCCACAAGAATGATGGAAAAATTTCAAAATTATTGGAGTGGTGTTCATGATATGATGGGAGTTGCTGCAGTTTTGGATCCTAGGAAGAAGATGGTTGTACTTAATTTCTGGTTTCCTAAGTTGTATGGAGAAGAATCAAGTGCACAAGTTAGTAGAATCAAAGACATGTGTTATGATTTGCTCAATGATTATCAACAAATTAAACTTAGAGATGCACAACCTACTGCTCCATCCATTGGTACAACTGCTATTATTGATGACGAGGCTGAATTTGATGCATACGTTGAGACAATTGCCATTGCCGAAGACTCAAGTTCAAGTGTTAAGTATGATTTAGATCATTATTTGAAAGAGCCAGTTATAAAAAATACTCCAGAATTTGACATTTTGAATTGGTGGAAGGTAAATGGAGTTGTGTATCCAACACTTCAAGAAATTGCAAGAGATGTGTTAGCTATTCCTATCTCTACAGTAGCTTCTGAATCGGCCTTCAGTAATAGTGGTAGAATATTGAGTCCTCGTCGTAGCCAACTTAACTGGACTACCGTAGAGGCTTTGATGTGTGCTAGGAGTTGGCTATGGGCTGCTGAGAATAACGGTATGTCATTGTCAAATTATTTTTACTTTCTACCTTAATTTTTTTGTTATATAATGTATTACTACTTTGGTATGTCATTGGCAAATAATATATTACTAATTTTTCTTGTTATATAATATATATAGGAATTTTTAGAGTTGCAGAAGAAATTGCTACTGTGTTGAATGAAATGGAGTCAGACGATGAAGGTATTTTGTACTTCATTTGGTGTAGAAGTTTTAAGCTTTAGTGTTTTATTTAACATCAATTTATTTGTTAATACAGCTGAGTTAATGGAAGGTTGTTTGGGTTACCATTTGGAAGATTAGAAGTTGTTGTTTCTATATGTTAACATGGTGAGTATTATTGTTTCTATCTTCCACCATTGTTGCCCCGACTAATTTGCACTAATGCTTTTGATATTAGACAGTTCTTTTAGTGTTGTGCTTATGTTTCTAGACAGTTCAAAAACATGATATTTAACGCGCATGCAAGCATGCTGAAAGTTAGTAGACAAACATTATTATAGGCAGTTTTATTCCAGTTGCAAACATGATAAATTATCAAGAATATGGCATGTTAAAATTATTACAATTTAAAAGCGATATGTTATCTGTGTTGTAAGCTATTACATCTCTGTATGTATCAAGAAGTGGTCTACAGGATTCTTCTTATTACAATTTAAAAGTTCAGCATTACCAAGAATTAAGTTACATGTTTTATATGTTTTAAGTGTCACATGTTTGTTATTACAATTTAAAATTATGATGATAATATCTATTAGTGTTTCTTAACATGTGAAATATATTTTCTTTGTAATAGGTAAAATAGATCAAGTGAACACAACTCCGGAGCCGGAAGGAACATCTAATCTTACACAAGAAAGTTGTAATATATTAGCTTGTTGTTGTTGAAAAGTTGTAATTTGATTGTAGAATTTAATTTTAATTGTAATGTTAAGATGTTGAAGACTATGTTAAGATAATTGTGATTGCATTTTCTTGAAGACAATGTAAAGAGACCTTATTTTAATTGTAATTTTTTTTTTGGTGCGGGTTTGGGTTTGGGTGAAAAAACCCGAACCCAACGGGTGCGGGCGCGGGTGTGATTTTGTCACCCAAATAGCCTTCGGGTTTGGGTGAAAAAACCCGAACCCAACGGGTGCGGGCACGGGTGTGATTTTGTCACCCGAATAGCCTTCGGGTTCGGGTTCGGGTTCGGGTGATGATTTCGGGTGCGGGTGTGGGTAGTGTGAAACCCGCACCCGACCCGACCCGTTGCCATCCCTACTCAACGGTATACTACGTTGAAGACCAGACAGTTCCTAGATCTTGATGAAGATGTTTCCCCCCGTCATAGTGTGGACGAGTTCTACAATCTCAACGGTGTACTATGTTGAAGACGAGACAGTTTCTATATCTTGATGTTTCCTCCGTCATAGTGTGGACGAGTTCTATAATCTTAACGGTATACTACGTTGAAGACCAGACAGTTCCTAGATTTTGATGAAGATGTTTCCCCCCGTCATAGTGTGGACGAGTTCTACAATCTCAACGGTATACTACGTTGAAGACCAGACAGTTCCTAGATCTTGACAATTTTCCTCCGTCATAGTGTGGACGAGTTCTACAATCTCAATGGTATACTACGTTGAAGACCAGACAGTTCCTAGATCTTGATGAAGATGTTTCCCTACGTCATAGTGTGGACGAGTTCTATAATCTCAACGGTATACTACGTTGAAGACCGGATAGTTCCTAGATCTTGTTGTTTTCCTCCGTCATAGTGTGGACGAGTTCTATAATCTCAACGGTATACTACGTTGAAGACCAGACAGTTCCTAGATCTTGATGAAGATGTTTCCCCCAGTTGAATTACGGACGAGTTCTACAATCTCAACGGTATACTACGTTGAAGACCAGACAATTCCTAAATCTCAACAAAAATTAGACTCCCCCAGTGGAATCTTCTACAACAACAGGCATGCAAGTTCTCGCTAAGGAATCTCTTATGCGATCGACACTCCTGCAGATGGCATCTGTAAGCCCATACTCCTACCAACAATCTCTAAATGGCATCTGTAA